CTCATGAAAGCCCAACTACTACCCGGAACAGAATTTGCGGCTCGAAATTTGGCTTGTTTCTGCCCGAAAACCGCCGATCGAGAACTGGCCGGCTTGAGTTGAGCTCACTCTCTTCTCCGTGGTCACGTGCACAACCACCAAAGATAATCAAAGTCGTTGGTCATCGCCCACGACTTTGATACCCACTCAATGCTAAAAATAGACAAAAAAATATGATACCCATTTTTAGTGGCTTGTTAAACAGCTGCAAATACGTTGAATGAAAAAAAAAAAAAAGTTGCACAGCCACGTGATTTTTGGTAACTTTCCCCTCTATATTTCTTCTTCCTCCCCAGTCCAGTTTCAATTTCAAGCAGTTACGTTTTTTTTTTTTTTTTTTTTTTTTTTACTTTATTAAAAGTTATAACTATACGTGACGCTGTAGCAAAATATTGATTGGGTTGTCTTCTGACAAAAAAATAACTTTTTTTTCTTTCTTTTTTTTTGTGTGTGTGTGTGTGTGGGGGGGGGGGGGGGGGGGGGGGGCGGCGGGCGGCGGGCAGGGCAGGAACGCTCGGCCGATCGGGCCAAGAAAATGCACTCGGAGTCTCGGAGTAGCGAGAGGTTGCCATGTGAACGGTTACCACGTGTCTTTAGGCTTAGGAACGCCCAGAATCAGACGACTATCTTTAAAATGGGGCGAGCTCATCACTCATTCCTTTATGATTTGAGCGAGATAAAGCGAAGCCAGAGCCGGCTGCACCATTCACTGGCAATGAAAGTGGCGAATACTGCAGCGACCATGACGAGTTTGCTCCGAAGTGAGCGGAAAGGGCGCCGCCATGTTTGCTATTTCTCGAATCTTGCGTTAGGGGCGAGCGCCAACTCGAAATCCAGTTTGGATTCGGCGCATGCGCAGTGGTGAGCCCGTATTTCTTAGGGGACCCCAAGCTTTGGGGTCCCCTATCTACTAAGGTCGCTATTAGGGAGCTTTAGTAGATCGTCCCAATAGCTCCGATCACGACACCCGATAACAATAGGAAGTTTTCGTAGACCGTGTTTCCCCCTGCGCTAAGCCCTCGGGAACGAAGAAGTCACTACTGTGCCAGCGCGCCGATGGCCTTGACTGTAGATTTACGGGTATCGTTGCGGAGTGCGTTGCGGGACAGCAGAAGGCAGGACCAACTCTCTGTTTTTGGATATCGCTACAGGTGTTACCGGAAGGATCTAGTAAACTTGCTTATATCCCGCCGTTGCGAAGCAACCGAAATGCGTAGGTACTAGAGAGAGAAGCGTTGTGATAGAGGTTGGGGGGTAAAGAGAGAGCCAATAGTGTATGCGCACTGCGTAGATCCTATTTCCCTGTAGTCAAGTGACATGTACCCGGCCCTGGATTGGTTGAGATGGTTCTGCTGAGATCTGCCGTAAGACGAAACGGGGCTTGTCTCGACAGCCATGTAAATGTATATATCGCCGTATCGTCCTCTCCCGTGGTCCGTTCGATCGCCGAGGTTGCTCGCGATTGGCCGTCCGCGCTCCAACGATTACGGCTTGCGCAACGTTTTGCAATTCTGAAGCTCTATTTTTAAGTCCCTTAATGGCGTTCGACCTTCTTGGCGCGCTTAAGCGATTCTGATGTCCGTATCATCCATGGGGTCAGACAGGCTTCGACCGAAACACGTGTACGAAAGATGACGTTTTTTGTTTTTTTTTTGCGTTTTCTTTTCCCTTTGTTTTATTTATGATTGTTGGTGTATGGTCGTCGTGAATAAGTGTTTCCTATTGGTCGTTGTTTTGTCTTTGCCAGTGGCATCAAAAACACTTAAAACGATTCAAGTTTTTTTTTTTTTTTAGAACATAAAGGGGGGGAGGGGGTTTAAATAGAAATAATTCTTGGACGCGTATGGCCTGTGCAACGGCGATCTCTGGCATCTTTGAGGGAGAGAGAGACCAGATATTTGCCGTGCGCTATTTCCAAGCAAGCCCTGACGGGGTGTGGGCCAACGCGGAGTTTCCGCACGAGGTATGGCACGTGTGCACGAACCGCGTCAAGTCTGTGCATGCGCCCTGCCAACACCAGCGTCTTGGTGTATACGTTCAAATTATCGGGTTCGAGAATCATTGTGGCCTCAAAAAGTTTTTAGAGCGCACAGCTCTTAAGCGCGATCCAAACCAACGCGTTTTGGTGCGTGCGGAGGCCGTATACGCTTCCCGGGAATTCCGTATTTCGTGACGTCGCGCTGATTCCTTGCGCCTTCCGGGCGCGTATAAGGAAGGTAGATGATTTTAGCTTTCTCTGAAGGCGCACAAAAACGCGCTGTGACGTAGCAGGGTGCTCCACTCCCGGCCAATTCGGTGGAGGGCACCAGTTCTGGCTCTGCGTTTCTTTGCCGTCTGGCGCAGATGCTCTCTGCTCTCCCGAAAGCGCACGTTCTAACCAACGCGCATGCTTGTGCACCAGAAATGTTCAGCAAAAACGTCGCGAAATACGCAGTTTCCGGGAAGCGTACGGCCTACGCGCGCACAAAAACGCGTTGGTTTGGATCGTACCTTTGGGCGCCCGTTTCCGGGTCGCCTTCGGCGTAACCGCGCGTTGCATTATGGGACGTTTTCCCGTTAAAGCTAGCGAGAAAATTTTTCCGCCAAGTTTAGCGGGACATTTAGCGAAATTTTTCCGCTAAATGGGAGGGGAGGGGGGCATACCCTCCCCTCTTCCTCTTCAAGAGCTGCGCTCTAATTCGGAATTACAGATAATCGTAAACGTCTTTCACTTTCTTTTTTTTTTTTTTTTTTTAATTGCCGAGTTTCGAAGGTCAGATTTCTGGCTTTTTTTTCGTGTGCGTGCGTCGTCGTCCTAAGGAAAAAAAAAACTTTCAGCGATTGAAGCGAAAAGTGCATATCACGCATGCAACATACAGCGCAGCATTCGTTTCAATAAAGAATAATCATAAAACAAACGTCCTAACCATGTAATGGATGATAAGGAGCTTCTGAAAACAAGGCGAAGCCCGCAGCGCTCACCGTATACGTTCCCGGTGAAGATTACTGTTGCCCAAGCTGCCGCGGCGACGGCAGCTTGCGACGCGGGGAGTGACGTCACTAGCAAAGTTTTGGTACAGTCCATTCACTTTTCTTTTGGGGAGGAAAAAAGGAGGAGGGGTTATCCCCTCCCCCCTAACTAATGATGACCGTCCGGCTTCTGGCTGTGACTCCCACGTTAGTATTTACTCTTTCGCAAGCCCTAATTTTCCCTCCTCTCTCTCTCTCTTTCTCGTGGGCAATCGTTGCAGGTGATACCACAGCTTCGCTGTCCAACTACCTTTCAGCGTAAATTAAAGCCCCCACCTTTTTTTTCTTTTTTTTTTTTTTTTGGGGGGGGGGGGCGACTTTTACCATATGTATAGCAATTCTATCCCACTCGCTGTGTCCTCTAGCTACGCGAATTTTTTTACCATACTATTTCTCTGTGCGCGGTGTGCAGCCAGTAAAACAAGTGCACCTAGCAACGGATTGCTGTTCCGCATATCGTGCGTGCCACCTACGCCGTCCTCGCAGACAGTGTCTACACCTCCGTGTGACTCTGGGCGGTCGCGATTGAGCCATCTGTCATTTACTGGGTGACTGTCGCGACATCGCAGTGCAGCAGCGGCGGCCTCTGCACAGCCCCTACCTTCCTCCGATATATACAGGCAGTGTTTAGGTCTTAGCGTTTCTGCGCAAAGCCGATATCCCTTTTTCACAGCTAGAGAAGGTGCAAACATCGCGTCCTCCTTTCATTGTGCCCCATTTTCCTCAAATATGGGATTAGGGCAGGCACGTAGCCAGGGGGGTGGCCCATGCCCCCCCCCCGAAATCTTTCAAATAATTGTGGTAGCTGTTGCCTGTCACGCCTAAATGAAACGGTAGTCCTTAAAAAAAAAAAAAGTCGTAAAAAAGGGGGGGGGGGAGAGAGAGAGAGAGAGAGAGAGAGAGAGAAGAAAATAGTTTCTTTCACCTTGGGTAGATGGCGCCATTAAAACTGAGCTTTGTCGATGATATGAGGTTTTGGCGGATTTACTCTTGAAATGTGAATATTTCTATCTTACCAACATTGCAATGCGTGGATAGAAGCGCCGAAGGACAGGGACAAAGTGAAGAAGGTAACGACAACACGCAGCGTAGTCGTGTTGCCCTTGTCTTCTTCACTTTGTCCCTGTCTTTCGATTCATGAACCAACCAGCCCAACTGAACATTTTGCTATTACAATGCACCCAGGTGTTCGCCACGCTCTAGTTCCCAGGGCCGCCACCCCGCGGCTGCAAATCGCGAAAGATTCCCGCTCTTTGCTGTTACGCAACTGAATCGTGTTATTTCGCGTGACGCGGTGTCTGCACCCCGTCTGCTAAGATGAACATTGGAAACATTCAAAACTGCAAATTCTTTGGAAGTGGAAATTGTTGCATCGCCCCTCTAAAGGGACGCAACAACAAAGCAGATAGATTATTCTTGAAATGGAATGCTCATAGACTACTTCGTATACACACCAAGTTTCGCGATTTTTAGAGCTGTAGTAATTGCAATAATCAATTTACGAATTTCGATCGTTTTCATCTGGTGACCAGGCAACACTGCCCAACTTAGTCACACCCAAAAATTAAAAGCGTGCAATTTAGGTTTTGATGTGTCATTTATGGGAGAGGGGGAAAAGTAAACCGAGTTATACCAGGAATGCTCTACGCAGACGACATTGCACTGTTAGCAGACATCCAGGGTAGGATCCGTGGATAAGAACGAGACTCTCTGGGCCTCATATTGAGAAGCGACAAGTCGGGAATAACGGCTTCTAACGATGAGAAGGGGGGGAACATGTCACGTGACTAGGCGCGTCGCTGCGTGCCCCTAAAGGTCACGTGACTCGGTGTCGGTGCTCGTGGAGCCCTCCACGGTCCAAAGTGCTCGACGTCAGAGCGCAGTGGTGGCGCTGCTGTCGGCTCTGCGCATGCGCATAAAAGGCTCTTGACACGAAGCACCTCTGGTTGCAGCGCACAGCAACAACATGCACTGCCTGGCGCACGCCGTGAACGCCCTGGCGGGCTCGCTGTTCACGCTGTGCGGCCACGGCGACGTGGAGGACCGACTGAAAGAGTTCCTGGCGCTGGCGTCTTCGAGCCTGCTCCGCCTGGGGCAGGAGGCGGACCGGGAGGCCGGCAGGGAGGCAGTCTTCCTGCTGCTACACCTGCTGGTCGACGAGTCGCCGTTCCTCACCATGGACCTCCTGGAGTCCTGCTTCCCCTACGCCCTGCTGCGCAACGCCGCCCACGCCGTCTACAAGGCCGAGGCCTGACCAATAAAAGCCACCCCTGGTCCCTTCTGTACACGCTGCCTAACGCGTGTCCGACTGCTGCGCTTAGCGTCGTCCTTTACATGGCTTGTACTCGCGTCACATCGCATACGTTTGACCATCGGTACTAGACTACCTCGGTTGCGGAATTCCGCGGAAGGGAGTACCTTCCCCCCTTCCCCCCCCCCCCCCCCCCCCCCCCCGTCACTCCCTTCAGCCCGCCTCCCGTCGTTCGAAGCGCCATCTAGATTTTCGTTGACGAACTGTGTGTTCCATAGAGTATGGTGGAATGCCATCTAGACACAGCACTTCGAAACGGACGTATCCAATACGATACACTGCAGTTACCGTAGCGGCCTTCCGGCGCATCGAAGGACGGGAGGCGAGTCGTGGCGAGTGGGGTCGTGCATGCAGCGTCTATACTCTGTTTCACCTTATGATGTACCGCAGAAAAGGCCACAAGCGCGAGCTTCTTGCTCTAGGACACATCTCGGCGGCACAAGCTCTCGTGCGTTAAGAGTAGCTCCCAACGCTACGAGCTCGCGCTTCTAGCCTTGTCTGCGGTACAACATAAGGTGAAACGGAGTATAGGAGCAGTTCCGTAACTGACCTAATCTGATAACGTTGCTTTTGACCACCATGAAAGAGGAGGAGAGGGAAGCTGCTTTTGTAAGAAATTGGAGTGACGGGTGAATCTTCAGGGAGGAGAATAGCGACCCCTGTGCAAATCCGGGGGGCACGAAAGAGGATCCTGGTAAGAGGGGAGCTCCCTCTTCTCTGGTGGTCATCGGAGCGCCCTTTGAATAACGTCACGTGCAAGCCATGTAAGTGGTCCCGGAGCGGGAACAAATGACGTCACAGAGGCTGTCGGATGTCGCGAACCCGGCTGTTGGTCGTACAGGTTCCGGCAAAAAGCAGGAGGGAGGCCGAGTGTCCCTGTCGTCACAGCGTCCCAAGCCCGACTGGCGGAGTTGCAGCAGAGCGGGCGTCTGCCACATCCGCCAGGACCTAATGACTATAGTAACGCGATACCGGGAACCAGTTACTTTTTTCGCTAATTTGGAACTAACGCGTTACTGTTTAGTGTTAACTCTAAGAATGGTACTCTTTTTTTTTTTTTTAAGGAACTAGGAAGAGTAACGTCGCCACAGTTACTTTTCAGATAAATGCGTAAAAATATAATGGCACCTTTATTTTTTTTTTTTTCAACAAAACAATGTTGAAAAAGTGACACGGGAAAAAAGCTGTAAAAACAGCTTGACGAGCCATCTAAACCAGCAGTCGCGATGCAGGCACCAAAGTAACTATACAAAAATAAAAGATGACACGTGCACTACATGTACTGCAAAAAAGAACTAACGCTATACAAGATAAGTAGCATATTGATACAATTTACACGGTAGTGAAAACATACACCGAAAGTTAGAGCAGCACTGAAATAAACGCGGAAGAAAACGTCGATTCCAGAGATTTTAGCGCTTATTGCGGACAATTTGGCTCGAAATAAACATTTGAAATAAACATTTCCCGTGAGATGCTTACCGATATATTGCTAAGCTCAATTCCTTACCTACTAAGCTGGGTAGTCGGCAAATTATATTTTAAACTTTCGTTCCCGTAATTAATTTAAAAAAGGGTACTTCCCAAGGTTATTTTGATTCGTGTTGGGTGTCTATAAATTTTATCTACTAGGTTCGATAAGTTTTTAAGGTGATATTGGGATAAATTTGTTTCTATTTTATACCTTGCACATAAACGATATTTATATAAATCAAAAAAATTCATCACACCAATTTGACTAAAAAAATCATGAGTTGTATGTTCTAGTGGCACATTGAAGATACTCCTTAATATTTTTTTTTTTGGGGGGGGGGGGGGGGAACAAAGATTTTTTGGAGGTTTGTATAGGTAGTAGTGCCCCATACGAGTTGACTATAATTTAAAGGTGAGAAATATTGAATTATATAATATTAACTTTGTTCTAAATGGTAGAATGCGTTTATGACGATATAGAATACCGACGATGCTAGATAATTTAGATATGATATGATTAATATGGTCGTCCCATGGGGGGGACAAGTTACCTTGAAAAATAACGCCCAAAGTCTTAAACGCGGGAACGATTTCTATTTGAGAATTTATAAAAATATCCCCGGTAATATTAATATATTTATTCTTAGGTCGGAATATAACCGCTTTTTGTCTTAACGGCGTGTATTTTTAATGCATTCTGTCTACTCCATCTATAAAGGTTTCTTGTGTTTCGTTCGCGTTATCAATAAGCTCCGACGCGTCATCACCATCAAACAATAAGCTCGCATCAACTGCATAAATAAAAAAAAATTGAGTTGAGTGACTAATATTTACGATATCATTTATATATACATTGAATAAGAAAAGCCCGAGAATGCTTCCCTGGGAAACCCCCGATTCATTCGGTATTATTTCAGATGAGTGGCCGTTTATACGAACATACTGTCTGCTGGAATATACATATGAACGTAGAAGTTTTGATACGCGAAATCTATATATATCTAACTTCTTTAGTAGCAAATGATGATGTAGATAGTCGAACGCTTTAGTAAAATTACAAATAAACCGAGAGTGAGTTTTCTTTTTTGAAAATTTCTAAGTATATATGTTCTTTTTTCTGCAAGGAGAGCCAGTTCTGTGGATCGACGTTTTCGAAAACCAAACTCGCAAGAAACGACAACCAAATAGTCTCGCAACTCGTGAAAGGGGGCACAGCGAATAACTGCCGTAAAAACGGTCTAAAAGAAAAAAAAAATCTGTGCTTGGCCAAGGTGGTCCCGCAAACGGGGATGGTGATGATTGTACCCGTACTGGAGCACCCGCAGCATACTTTGGTATTAATTCAGTTACTGTAATTTAGCTACTTTTCGGTAATTTGTAACTTAATTACATTCGGCTAAAAGGAATTGTAATTTAAGTACTTTCTAGCGTCAGTAATTTCAAAATTTCAGGCACAATTACAATTATTTTCGCGAGGCCCTTTGCGGTGCTGACGGAATTCCTCCGAAAGCATCAAGCGGCCTAGCGCGCGGTAACACACTCGCACACGTAGGCACGCACGCACACACAACAAAAATAGCGTCGCATTGTTTGTGGTCTTGTTGCTTACACTGCGGGCTGAAGAGCAATCCACTGGAGCCTACCTCAACGGCGCCGTGTGGCGCCGTCTGCACTGCGAATCCTCTGGAGCCTGCCTCAACGGCAGAGCTGTACAGCTGTACCTGCTCAACGGCGCCGTGTGGCGCCGTCTGTGCTGCGAGCAGAAAACAATGGCGGAAACATGCCAAAAGTGAGCTTCAGCTTTTCGTCGAGGTTGGGGATTTTAATTGTCTACCAAGTTATTTTTCTATTTTGGCCATTTTTTACGTCCCTCTTTCGGTACTGCCGCATATTTGTTTCTTTGTAGTATTTTAAAGTTTATTTCCTGTCGGTTGTACTACGGATATTTGCATAAGCATTGTGGAGACTGACCTCCCACCTGTGAATATTGTCACCATTGATTCGGGAGCCCCCGATTCGGTTTTTATATATAAATATATATTTCTGAGGCATTATAATTGCAACTCAATGTAAATCATTTACAGTAACACGACGTTTATGTAAATGTGGTCGTATTAGCGCCTGTGGTTATTGTCGCATTTTCATTTGCCTGGCTAACAAAAGTGTGTCAACCCAATTTTTTTTCTTCAGCGATCTCGCGTCTTCGAGTATATGAACCAATTTATTATTAGCTATTAAAAATATAAGAACGTAGCACTCTATTGCCCCAAACTGTCAGGTTCTATTAATTTATTTAACAAAATTCGTAAATGGAAAGTACAATGCGTGACATTTATGCACCGATGCTTAAGCTTCCTCAAACGTTGGGGCATGAAATGAACAAATGCGTTGATTTCTGTATGCAACTCGTTTAAAGTTGCATGGCCCAAGTCGGGTCGCTCTCAGAACTAAGTAATTGCATTACTTATTAAAAGTAATGTGTAACTGCAATTAATTAATTTGCACGTAGTAGTAATTGTTAAAGTAGTTTTGGAGCAAAGTAACTGTAATTAGATTACATTCTGGAATTCATTCACCCATGCATGACCCACAGAGCAAGGAGATACAAAGCGTTTCCGAGCCTTTATTCGACGGAGGGAGCGGGTGCTTTTCCTGGAGGTCAGTTTCTGGGGATTGTTTACCCAAACGGCCGTGGATTACGGCACAACCGATTGATCAAACCTGCTCTGTTTGCCGCTGAGCGTACGTTGCACCCTAATTTGAATCGTCCAACCCCCAGATGCGCTTTTGCGGGGTCTCGACTTCCGGCTCTATTTCTCTGCCCCTTTTACTTCGTTTCCAATCTGATTACCGGCCTTGCCTCTTTCCCGGTATGTCACCCTTGGTGTTGCCCATGTTCCTGCTTCCCCAGTCCCGTCACTCGAGGAGTATTCGCTCGAAACTTCTGTGTTGTCGCTCTGCTTGTTTGCGTGTTTTCTTCGAGTGGAAAGACCGCTCTCGGCTTGGAGCTGCAGAAGCATTTGGCATCAGTGGATTTACTCGTGTCTGCGTCGATGGTTTTCCTGTAGTTTCTGTAGTTGCGGTGGTGGGATGAAGGAGCGAAAAAGTGACCGTGACCGGTGTGATTAGGAAGTGGTGGAGAAAATATTGTCGACCTAAGTAGCAACAGCCGTTCAGAATTTAGGACTCCGTTCCCGTTAGCACCTCGATAACTGTTTCACTTTCAGGGCCGCTTCATCCCCGCTTTACGGCGATTTGGTCCGCTGTAGCGGTAACTGAATCAGTGCTTTCCTAGGTGTACACCTCCCCCCCTCTCCTAGTTTTTACTTTTTAATTTTCCGCAATAAAACAAAACAATGTAACATCTATTTTGCGCGAAACCTTTGTTTTCCCGAGCGCGCTAGCTGAACAGTGGTTCCTATATGAAGCCAGCGTCAGAGTAGCATCAGAGCACGAGCCGTTTCGTCGCCTTTCCAACGCGCTGCTTAACTCTGGCTCCTC